GTAGGTGGGCAGTTGTAGGGATGTGTATTTAGGAAGAAGTCAGACTAGGAAAAGCTGACTGAGGAAGCTGAGGAAGAGCATCCAGTAGAGTAGGATCAGAGAGCTGTGCTCCAGTTCACCTGCAGGGGGAGCTGGGGAGTTGGTCTTGGAGCATTAAAGTGGATGATCCTGGGTTTGATTGGAGCTTTTCCATGATGGTTATTTGGCAGGCTGTGAAATGACGTTTCTCAGGCGATCATCTTACCTTGAACCTGCTGTAGTAGATGCTAGAAAGATCTCCATTCAATCCAGCAGGATTTGCGGGGGGGGGGGGGGGGGCAGTTTAAGAGTTTTACCAGTCAGACACATAATGTATTTAAATGCGTTTAAAGTGTATAATGCCCAAAAGTGGTTTACATAACCAACAATGACAGAGAGGAGCAAATGGTTTAAAGCAGAGAAAGGCTGCAGTTGTTATTTTCCACCTAGCTCTTGAGATCAGGCGCGTTCAGGGTGGTATGGCTGTAGACGACAATGCATCCACCTAGCTCTCAAATGGTTACTCAGTCCTCTGATCGCAAGCTTAATTAGCGATTTTCATCTCATAACAGCAACAGCTAAGAGCTCTGCAGTTCTTTATTTACATTCTGTTGTCTGCATGTGTGGCATACGGTGACTAGTAAGTCTAACTTAATCTCTGGCAGTTTTTTGCTGAAGTTTTCTGAACTGGGATAAGAGGCTGCAGGATGGGATGGGTAGGGCTGCAAGCCGTGGCCAAGTGAAATACCCCCACCATCCCAGAGGAAAGGTCTGGAGCTCTGGGAAGTAGTTATCACAGGCCAATGGGAAGGCCCAACCCTTCAGGTTAGATTCTCTCATCATTTCCCTGTCAAGGTCAAGTAGCTCCACGTTCTCTGATGGTACCCTTTCCTTAAGGAACGGGAGTACATTGGCTCCATTCACTCAGTAAATTTTCTTCCCACACCCCACTCTGTGCCCTGCTTCCAGTTCCAGGGAAAGCACCTGTTTCAATGGAACTTCTGACTTTGAACTCAGCCATGCTCAGTGCCAGCGGGTACAGCAGTGTGGGAAATATGGTCAGTCCTTGTCATCAAGGAGCTCCTGATCTGCTTGAGGACAAAGATGATCCCAAAAGTGTGAGAGTAGAGTTTATGAAGGGGCGGGAAGACAGCTTCAGCTGGGTCCTGAAAAGTGAGCAAGTGAGCAGATTCAGTGGAAGGTTACGGAAACCAGAGGCACTTCAGGGTCAAGCATCAGCACTGAAGTCGCGTTTAGTAGGGCCACTTGGGCTGCATTGCAAGGCAACAAATGAAAACAATTACAATTTGTAAGCCTGTGTGGAATTCCGTGTTATGCCATGTTGAGAAAAACTTCAGCATGCATTTGGCAGGTAAGACGGCAGGTGACTCTCCAGGGACCTACAGAAAGTTACAGGTATCTGACCTGGGACCAGAGCTCTTTTCCTGCCACTACCCCTCCGCCGGGAGTGACCAGAGAGGCTTGTCTCTTGATGGCTCAATTCTATGTCATGCTGGTATTGTCTCTCCATCAGACTCCTCTCTCAACCCCAGCCCTGCTCATCATCTTCTGAGAGCAGCTGGGCAGATCCTGCTCCCTGGCACCTGCAGCGTCTCCTCAGTCAGGTCCCAAGCATGCAGTTGGACTAATGCCGAAGTGTTTGACACGCCCCTCTTGGCCTGGCACAAGTGCTACCTCCTGGCAGAGTTCACTCAGCCTAATTGCTTATTTGTGTCCCAGCTGCCTTTCATGTGCCAAGCCTGTCTGGTGTCAGAGATGACTACACTGAGACATTTGTTCTTATGAGCTCTGGCACTTAACCAGGGACTGTGTTTCATGTCTTTACACACACACACCTCACACACACAGTGCCTAGCTCCACGTAGGTGCCTCTCGTATTTGTGAAGTTTGGCAACTGGGCGGGGCGAGTATGGGACACTGCTAAGGATCAGGATTTAGACATCAGAAGTCCAGCTTAAGTGTCAACTCATCCAGTGGTATTCTTTCCTAGATGGTCTCAAGCAAGTTTGGTTGGGGTTTTTTTGTTTGCTTGCTTGCTTGCTTGCTTCTCTCTCTCTCAATTTTAGTGTCTTGAATGTTTTTCATCTAACAAGTGCTCAGGGAGGCAACATCCATCCTGACGATGTGGTACCCACCCTTGCTCACATGAATACCTATAAGACAGCTTTGAGAATGTGAATCATGTAATCATCTGATAGTCCTGATCATGGAGGGATATGTATGAGGGTTAGAGGACTCCAGAGGAAGAGGTCGTTCATTGTACTGGGAAGGGTTAAGCAAACGACAGCCTTATGAGATGGCCATGATGGCTGAGATAGAACTCTAAACCTGAGTAGAAAATGATACTGCACAACTCCTTTATGCCAAAGCAATGACCCAGAGAAAGCCAAATGCCTCAAATAAAGGACTGGAGATACAGCTCAGATGTGAGTCATAGCTAGCAAGACACAGACGTGACAACAACTTGCTCCCCTTGTCAGTGGCTTCTCACTAAGGTGGTCTCCCACTGTAGAGTCTCACCTTCAGAAGAGCAGTGATATCTCAACCACAGCCACAGCACAGAGCAAGCCCTTAGCACAGGGCCCGTGTGTCAGGATGCTCAGAAACCAGCTCATGTCAACTCACAAGAACTGATGATTAAATGTGCAGGGATTTCTGTGTGCTGATTGTTAGAGCTTTTGTTAGAAAGTCAGTGATGTAAAATTCTTTACAAAACAAAGATAAAAGTGATTTTAAATGATTCCTTATGAAGGATTATACCACTGTAGTAAAATGGGAAAAATCTGTCGGGGATGGGAGTTTGGGGGAAAATTTCAGTCTATACGAAATTGTACCACATAATTGAAAAATTCAAAATAAGAAAATCAGTGACATAAAATTCTTTACAAAACAAAGATAAAAGTGACATTTTAAATGCATCATTTCCTCCATGTGTTCCTGACATTCCATGGGCCGTTATGTCTGTCTGCAGGAAATGCTACATCATGATGCCCTACTGTATACCTCCCCTAAGCCCTGCATGCAGGTGCGTCTTACTGGAAGCTGGAAATCAGACAGGGTGGGAAGATGGACTATACAGAAATGGGCAACTGCTGCAAATCAAAGCTGGTTTCTTTCCAATGATTGATCGAAAACTGTCATAGACTAACAAGTACCCATGAGTGAAGATGGGAAGCACTGGTAAACTCAGGACTTGTATCTTTCAAACTTCCTGGACAGAAGCCTGTGGCATGAAACACAGCCCTCCCAGGACAGACATCCTCATCTCTTTGGCTGTAGGAAAGATTTATGTTAAACTGGGCCTTCTTGACAACAGAAGATCATGGTATAGGAGAAGGGGGATGGAAGTGTTTTTTTCTCTAAGACTCAACTCTTAAGGCAATTGTCTCTTCTGGCAAGAGGCCTCTAGTGCCTACAGGGGAGTCAGCCTAATCTTCCCCAGAATCCAACAGCAATCCACAGGAGCCTGAGCTAAAATCCCTTGTGCTCTGGGTTGCCTAACTGAAGGCTACATGGGAGCCACCTGATGCTGATCTGACAGCTCCCAATTATCAGGAAATCCCCAGAGAGATCAGTCCAAAGAGGCTGGCTGTGTGTGTGTGTGAGGGGTGGCCGGCGGGGCAGCCCCCAGAAGAAATCCTTCTCCAGAGGGCCAGTGATTGTCCAGGAAGAATCCAGAGACACATGGGGCAGGAGGAAGTTGGAGGGGGAGCCAGCATCTGCAGACAAGCTCTGGTAGCCCAGCCTTGGGGAGGACAAACCTGCAGCAACCAGAAATTCAATTGTGTTCCATTAAAGAAAGCCTCGCTCAGTTCACACAGAATACAGTTGATGAAAATCAATCTTCCCCACTCGTCAAAAGAGAATTTCACAGAGATAGGCTGGGAGATGTTCGAAGCGGGAGTGGAAATCTTTGCCGAGCTTCACCCTCTTTGCCATTTAATTGTATTTAGACCCAGAGCCTTGGAAGGAAACCACTGACTGAATTAGCATTAACCAGATTGTGTGGCGAGAGGTGGGCGGGGCAGGGTGCATTGTGGGTAACTGCTGTTGTCTTCAGAAAGGACAGGCTGGCACTGGTGAGACCAGCTGCTCACTAGCCTGGTGTTAATTGCTTTTCTCATCAAACAGAGAAAAGGTTATCACTCTAGGAAGGTAGGCATGTGGGCACCTCATAAAGCAGGAACATTTGAGATCTTACACCAACACCCAGGAGGTCCCTTTCCTAAGACCAGACCAAAAAGAAAACCAAAGCCTACTGAACTCAAGTGTGGTGGGGAAAGTTCCGTGGACAGCAGCACCTGCCTCAGATCTGTCTCGTCTGCGAGAACTGCCTCCCCGGTGTCCAGACCCCTTAGGTCACTCACACCAGCCGGCGCCTCCACTTCTAACCCTTGCCTGTGGAAATCAGGCTGATCTGGAGCTGGACTCAGCATGGTGAAGTCCAAAGTCAAGGCCTGACTCTGCCACTGCCTTCCTGTGTAGCTTGGGGCAAATAATATAACCAGAAATGTCACATACCTGCACAGTTCCAGAGAGCTGGGTGGTGACAGAGCTGGGATTTGCATCCAGGTCACCTAACTCCGAATCTGTACATGTCACTACATCGGTAATGCTATGGCATCAGCTTTATCTCCTTAGAACCTGTTGTACTGTCCACAAAAATAGTCTCCTGGGGAGATAGCTGAAGGTACCTTGCAGTGGCAGTTCTTGCCAGAACACTTTGATGCCTGCAACCACAGTGATGTGTTTAAAAGTTGCTGCTTCCCAGGAACCTATGCCATGAGCCTCCGGGTACAAGATGTGTCTGCGCACAACTGGCTTCCTGCTGCCTGAATTTGGGGCTCGGCCTGCTGGCCAGGGCTGCAACCAGGTGGCTGGCTGGTCCTTGTGGATCAAAAGTCCCCACCTGCCCTGCACACCTTTTAAGATATATCCTGTTCTTGTTTCTCTTCGCACAGGCACACGTGTGTCATTCGTGGCCAAGTGATGACATCAGATGGGACCCCCCTGGTTGGTGTGAACATCAGTTTCGTCAATAACCCTCTCTTCGGGTACACAATCAGCAGGCAGGATGGCAGGTAGGTCACCGCCAGTGGGCCTGGGAAAGTGACAACCCTGTTCTTGTGGGTCTTGCCACACAGCTGTCACTGGGCCAACCATGAGGGGAAGGGTCAGGGCTTGGCTTCAGAGGGCCCAGACCCAAATGCCATAACTGTTGCCTATAGGTTGTATCACATCATGTGTGCCTCTGGCCTTGGTCCTTTTGGCCACAGATGAAGCAGCTTCTTTTCATTTGATTCTCAAAGTGTATGATATCTTGTCCATGTGATCTTGCTCCCTGCCTTCAGACGAAATATACTTCCTACAACCCAAGAAGTTCTGGAAGGCTCTGGAAGCCATTTGGATCATACAGTTCTGACCTTGATAGTCCTGCAGTTGCCATCAAAAGAACAAAGGGAAGCTTCCTGAACAGCCCTAACACTCCCACCTTCCAGCTGTGTACCCTTGGCTTCTGGCTTCTCTAAGCCTCAGCTTACTTGTCTGGTGAATGGTCCTCCAGATATCATCCAGCTCATGTGCTGGCTGTGAGAATCTGTGGCAGACAGTAGCACCCAGCACATAGTAGGTGCTTCATAAATCTTGGTCCCCTGTCCCTTTAGCTCATTGTAGTATTTCCAGTATCTGGCACATAGGAAGTATATGGGAAATATTTGCTGGTTTCCTAAAATTACAAATTACTGACAGAAGCAGATGATGACAAGACAGGCAATGAGGACATTTTGGAGAAAAGGCAAGAAGAAGGAAAATGGAATATGTAAGCTGTCAGTGGTGATGAGTCCTCTATTTTTAATGAAATCAGGTGGTAGCAGTCCATCTGGCTAAGTGTGGGCCCATAAGGTTTTCACTCGGTGTTGGAAACTGTGCTGCAGCCTGATTGCTTTTAGCACCTCTTTAATCCAATATCAGATGTGAGCATGTCCCGGCCGAGGCGATAATGAAGTCGAGGTTCGTCTGTCTGTGGACATGTGCACCTCTTAGATGAGTATGGTGAGCTCGGTGTGGGGAACCCTTGCCCCCACTCCATGTGAGTGGGAAATAGCACAGCCTCTAAAGGTTGGTGGCTGGCTGGTCCTTGCAGGTCAGAAGTCCCCACCTGCCCTGCACACCTTCCGAGCCAGGACTCTGTAGGCTCCATCCTGATGCCTTCCCACTCAGGGCTGCCAGCTCTGAAAAGAGTAGTTGCATACAGCCCAGGCAACAGGTATTGTGACCACATTGTCACCTGCTGTGGGTCATCCATCACAAAGGCGCCTTGGAGAACTGCTCTGTCTTTACTATAAAACCTGCCAGTCAAACATGCAAGAGGACACATTGCCAGTCCCCAGAAGCCCAGCTGTATTCAGGAGGGGCTGCCCACAAATACCCTGAAGCCAGGCATTGGTTTGCTCTCTGACTCACCCGCACTCCAGGTTTGCACTGCTCCCACTGTGCTCCCTCTGTCATGTCCCACCTTGAGAAGCACAGGGGCCAGGGACAGCACACATCACCCACATGTCCCGTATCCACCTCTAACATATCTCTGCAGCTCTGGTGGCTGCGTCTTGGACCTGAAGCTTCACACTGACTCTCACCCATGTGCTGTGGGGCTTCCCTGCTCTTCCCGACGTAGAGCCAGCACAGTGCATGGGAAACTCAGAGCTTGTTCTCCTCATAACTGAAACTCCATCTGTTGCATGACGACAGGAAGCCTCTTGCCCATTTCCTATCTTGCCTTCTTGGAGCTACCTCCTTTCATACCTCTCACGCAGAAGTTGCAGGGTGCACAAGAGGCCTGATGGTCCAGGGACCATCGTTGTGTTCAGCTCCCAGGCAGCACCTCAATACTTACTGTCCTATACCTCCCTCAATCCATACACACACACACACACACACACACACACACACACACACACACTTGCTGAAACACCAGATTTGCAGTCTTCCCAGGTGCTCAGAAACAAAACATAGCGAAGCAGGTAGCCAAAGGACTCATCTCAAAAGATGGAAATCTCAAAAGACAAGAGCAGACAAAAGGGATAGCTGAGGCTCGCTGAGTTTGAAACCCAGAATTATACAGAGGATGGTAGCTGGGGAATCTGTGCCCTCCGCTCCACATACACATATCCTGTCCTTCCATTAGTCCATCTAAGTAAAGCTCTGCCCAGTGGATGTGAGCACCCTCCTTGTTCCACAGAAGAGGAGAGGGGAACTGGGTTAGGTAACACCACTGGCCTGTAGTGTTAAGTAGCCGTCTGTAGACTGGCCCTGAGCAGCTGGGGGCCTCCCCTGGGAATGACGCCTCGCTGCGGGACCAGATCCACGTTCACAGCCACGCTGAGGTTCCCCCTGCAGTTAGGCAGGCCTGGCTCCCCGCCCATCACACTCAGTTCTTGGCAAGACCAACCGCTCCCAGCTTGCTGACAGCCTTGAGACTATGTCTTTTCATGCTGTCACCCTTCCCCAACGCCTCAGCCCCTGCGCTGTCAGGCAGGGAGCAGGAAAGCCTGGCCAAAAATCCATTTGATGATTAAAAGGGTTCTGTCCAAGTACAAATGCCACTCAGTGCTGTGACAGAGAAGCTGTTCTCAGGGTGTTTCCCCCGAGCTGTGGATGTTCTCTGCAGAACTGCAACCTGCCATCAAAATGCCTTCCCTCATGTTTGTTCCCTCATGTCTTATGGAAGGATGGTGGCACCTGACCTCCTGTGCCTGAGTAGGGGTCCCAAAGGGAGGAGTGGAGGATAGGGAAAGTGGGTAGCAAGTTCCTGCATAGGACAGACTAATCGGCCTTCAGAGCCTGGGGACTCAGGTCTAGCAAAATGCACCATCCAGCAAGAGCAGGATTTAAGATGGAGCAGTTAAATGTAAAAACTGTGCAACTTGGAGGGAGGAAAGCGCGACAGACCTAATCCTACAGATGCATATATCAGGCTTCAGGGAGGCTCTGCCCTGGGTGGGATGTGGGGAGAGGTGCTTGTCAAAAACCTGCTGCAAAGGTGAATATTATGTTGATTTGCAAAAAAAAAAAAAAAAGAAGGGACTTGGGTGTTCAGGAGATCCAGGGACAAGTCTGTTCATAGGTTAACAGTGCTACACATGTATTCCTTCTGTCAACTTCTAACCACCAAGCATTGGAAAGACAAGAATTGATGTCCATGGGCCAGACAGCTGAACAACATGTTGTGGTCTGTGGTTTGGGCTCCACAGAGCAGAGCACATGGGGCAGGGGGACATAAAGAGGAAGCAGGAAGTCTGAACAGATAAGATGACACCGGGTCTTGAAGATACAACATAAAAGTAGTAGCTGATAGAACTGCCTCCAAAGAGACCCTGATGCCGGGGAATGGCACCGGGGACGGGATTGCCATTGCCCAGCCCTGAACATGGTCGTTGCAAGGTCATGCAGGCCCAGGGAATAGGAATTTAAGGAAGATGATTTGGGCTCAATTCGCCACAATAAAAAGTCCTAAGGGAATGAACTGAAGATGGGGATTCCCTCCTGGATGTACAGCTGAACGTGCGTGCCCATGGATGCAGGGAGGGCCCTGATCGGGATACAGCAGGGTCCTCATTGCTGGAAGTGCCCATGGAGGCAGTGACAGCCCTGACCGGAATACAGCAGGGTCCTCATTGCTGGAAGTGCCCATGAAAGCACTGAGGGCCCTGAGCATGACTCTAGACTAACATGTCTCACAGGGGCAGGGAAGCTAGCTGGATCAGGTGAGCATTGAGTTCAGTTTTCTTTAATTTTAAGTGTCCTGGTTTAGGAAGGGTGAAGACGGGGTTCCGGGGCCTTCAGTAGCAGCCAAGCACTCTGCATGGCTAAGCGAGCTCACTTGTAAGGTGCTGTGATTCCAAGCCTGCCCACTGTGGGCTGCCTCACTGCTCTGTAATGGCAGACTTTGGCTGTGTGACCTATCACAATCGGAGCTTAGTGACTTGAGGGTCATCCATTTGAGCCTGGGCATTTGACAGATGGGAAAAACTAAGGCTCCAGAAGGCTAAGTATTTTGCCTACAGTGCATAGCAGAACCAGGGCAAGGCTTGGGGTCAGGGCTTCTTTCATTTTAATCTGCTCGCTTATAGGCTTGGTACCAGGTACTTGGACAGGGAGTCTGGCAGCAGGCCAGGACTCTGGAAAATGTCCTTCTGGAGCAGTGATTTTGGCAGATTCTCGATGGTGAATCATTTTACCCCCAAAAAGTAAATAAATAAAAGGCAAGAGGAAGTGCCTTCTGGAGTTAGTGTCACTGTAGCTACAATGAAGTCAGGTGCCAGAATCTTGTTCACCAAATGTTAAGACCCTACAGTGTCATTCTGTGTTCTCTCCTCTTCCTGCTCCCATTTCCTGTTTTGCGGACCCACTCCTTCTCAACCTGCCCCCAAACAGCTTTGACCTGGTCACCCACGGAGGCATTTCCATCGTCCTGCGCTTCGAGCGTGCACCGTTCATCACCCAAGAGCACACCCTCTGGCTCCCGTGGGATCGCTTCTTCGTCATGGAAACCATCACCATGCGCCACGAGGAAAATGAGATTCCCAGCTGTGACCTGAGCAGCTTTGCCCGCCCCCACCCCGTCGTCTCTCCCTCCCCGCTGACGTCCTTCGCCAGCTCCTGTGCAGAGAAAGGCCCCATTGTGCCAGAAATTCAGGTACCCAGCTGCCCTACGTGTATGTTGGCGGGCTTCTGTGTCATCTGAGGTGGGCAGGAGTGGGGACAGGGATGGAAGAGGTGCTTAGCAGGTGAAGTGGGGCACAGCACATGACGCAGTATCCCACATCATCGGGCCTGGGATGGAGTCCCTGCTCAGCTCCCAATGCCAGCTTCCTGCTCATGCACACCATGGGAGACAGCAGGAGATAGTCAAGATACTTGGGTCCCAGACACACATGTGGGAGACTTGGATGGAGTTCCTGGTCCCTGGCTTTGCCCTGGCACACCTGTGGCTGCTGTAGACATTTGGGGAGTGAACCAGTGAATGGGTGTTCTCTCTCCCCCTCTCTTTTTCCCTCTGTCTCCCTCTCCGCATCTCCCTCTTGCTCTTTCCTGCTCTTTCCCTCCCTCTTTCTCTCTCCCCCTTTCCTCCCAACCTCCCTTCTTTTTCCCTCTCCCTACCAACCTTCAAATGAGTAAGAAAAAGAAACAAAAAATGGAGAAAGAAAAGGCCCACCGTGGGGCCTAGGGTCTGGGTCATCAACACGGTCCCCTACCATGTACCACCCACCCTGCTCACAGGGAGCCAAGGAGCACCTACACACAGCCTGGCACATCTTCCCTGCACACTCTGCCCTTCACCACACTCCTCCTTCTCTTTCTGCAACCTCCAGGATCCCCAGCCTCATGATTTTTGTTAAAAAACAAAAAATAATTATGAAGATAGATGCTACTAAGAGGAATCAGCCAGAGGATCCCCAACAGAAAGCACTGTAACAAAAGATTAAATGAAAACAATGTACCCCAGATACTTAGCCCAATGTCTGGCACCTAGTAAGTGCTCAATAAATTGTAGCTATCATGATTATCAAGATTATTTAACACACACAGCTTTTATGCCAATTAAGGATTGCTTTGGCTCAAATCTGTACACACAAGTGCTTTCCATAATTATCATTAAAGAGAAGCAATCAGGAAAAAAATGCATGTTAATCTGATGGAAATCAAGATAGATTCTTCACCTCCCAAAGCTCTGCTGAGCTGAATTTCCTTCGCTTGCCCACCCTACTGGGATTTCTGAGGGCAGAAACAAAAGCTAGGTGCAAAGGAGAAATATCAATGCAAGAGCCCCAGAGAGACCTGGCCACCCTACTATCTCACGAGCAATAGACCCCTGTTCAGATCCTTGCTTTGGATGGCACTGGTGGAGCAGGGAGCCAGGCATTCACATGGTGCATATTTCATGGCTGCATGGGCAAATGTGTCTCTCTGCATGTGTTGCACCCTGAGGCTCCCAGCAGCCGCCCACAAGTAGAAAATGGGCTCATTGTACCATCCTCGTTGCACTGGCACAATGAACCCTCACTGCCTCCCAGAGTCATGGTGCCTGCCTCAGGTGTATGCTACCAGGCTGACCTTTTGTGTTAAATGATTGCCAGTGGACACAGAGCTGGCCAGGAAAGTGATATGTTGCTTACCTTGGCTGAACTCTAGCTAGACACTGTTTCCCAGCAGCAAGAACTTCAGAACACATGAGGTTAAAGGTTGGACCCTATATACTGTCCCTGAGCTGGGAGGTCTCCATACCCACATAGGGCATAAGCCTTGCTTCTTTTCACTTTTGTGGCATATGAGATGACAAACTTGCAGATTGTGCCAGGGCTGGGGGATATGCCTTTCCAAGGGCACATTAACAAAGGGAGATGTGGGTGAGGACATCAGTCCAGAGTACAGTGCCTGCTTTGCTTGTAAACTGCAGTGTGGGCAGTTGTGTTGCATTAAGCTGAGTCCCTATAGTGGCCTGTGTTTGTGCATGTGGGTGGTGAGTGCTCACAGCCTCCTATGCAGGGAGTGATGGGGAAAAAAACAGGTCCTCTGTGAACACAAGGTAAGCATGGAGTTGCTAGCCTACACTGCTTGAATGTTCCATTCCTGAAAGAGACTTCAAAGCATCAAGCTGATAAAACTTCCCTTACTTTTGCTATGGGCCCCCGCACCCCAGCCTACCTAGAATGGAGCCCACAGCACAGAGCATGGACAATGCTATCCTCCACACTTCTCACTTCCTCTAATGGGAACTGCCCTCTGAGTACCCCCTTTCCAATGTGCACTTGCAACTTCACATGACCAGTGCCTCCTCCCTCTGTGGATGGCCTGGGGTGTCAGCCGCAAGTCTTGGCCAGACTATTCCCAGCTATGCACAGCTGTCTGCTGGGCCAGCATCTCCTGGTTTCTATTGGCTTTCCTAGCATTCCAAGCCATTTGTACCAGACCTGGGAGAAGCTGTGCTTGCTTCAATAGCCACCTGTCACTGTTGGTCTAAGGACAAGGTCTTCCAGTTCTCCTGATTGCTATTGTTGCTGTGAGAAAACACCAGAGGCTGTATATCCTTATAGAGAAAAGAGGATTTTTGGCTGATGGTTCTGGAGGTTCAGGGGCTGCTGCTGGTACCACCACAGCTCCCATGGGAGAGACAAGGAACTGGCATCCTAGCAGAAGCACAGGAGGGAGGAGAGACCACGTGGTAAGAAAAGAGGACAGAGAGTGAGAAGGCACTGGCTTCCTCTTTTGGCAGCCCTCTTTGAAGACTTACCAGGCACTTACCAGAGCTATATAATCCAGTCCAAGGGCAGTGCCCACTAACCCCCTTACCTCCCATGAGGTCCCTGCAGTCCCACATCACCTCCCAGTAGTGCCATACCAAAGACAAAGCTTCCAGGACATGTACTCTTTGAGAAATAAATCTCAGCCAAGCCACAGTGCTCCTGCTCCCAACCCCACCAATCCCTACAGCCCCATTGTCGTACCTCCCAACACCTTACCTAGAGGTCCTTACTGATGCTGCTTGCCAGCCAAGTGAGGGAACTCAGACTCACGTGGGCTCTCAGGGTGGCACAGGGAGGCAGTCAGAGGTGCAGAGTGTTTTATCCTATGTGCTCCTCTCAATCGTGCAAGACAGAAGTACGACTACCAATGCTACACAGAGGACAGAACAGGCTCCCTGGGGAAAGGCGACCAATTTCTTTCTCCTCTTCTCTCTCCCCTTCCCATCTCCTCCTGTTCCACCTCCATGGCTCTATTTGAGCCTCAGGGGCTGTGGGGCTGTGGCCTGCCTCACTCATGGTGACCGTGGCTTCTGCCTTCCTCTCACCCCACAGGCTCTGCAAGAGGAGATCGCCATCTCAGGCTGCAAGATGCGGCTGAGCTACCTGAGCAGCCGCACCGCTGGCTACAAGTCCGTGTTGAGGATCAGCCTCACCCACCCCACCATCCCCTTCAACCTCATGAAGGTCCACCTCATGGTGGCTGTGGAGGGCCGCCTCTTCAGGAAGTGGTTTGCTGCTGCCCCAGACCTGTCCTACTATTTTATCTGGGACAAGACGGACGTCTACAACCAGAAGGTGTTTGGACTCTCAGAAGCTTTCGGTAAGTGCCGCTGCCATGGGCCTCGGCGCTCTGCTCATAGGAGGAGAAGCACCAGAAGTCCTGGGGCTGAGCTGGGCTTTAAGACTTTTTTAGTCTTAGTAGTAACAGAATGTACTGAATGGTTTAAATGTGAAGGATTTGGCCGTGAAAAAAAAAAAAGACTTACAAATCTCAAACCAGGGGTGGAATATTTGGCAGAGTGGTTAAGCCACCACTTGGGATGCCCATGGCCCATATTGGAGTGGCAGATTCATTAGTCACAGAAGGAAGAAGCAACAAAGTGAGGTTGTGTTTAGAAGGAAGAAGCAGCAAAGTGAGGTTGTGTTTAGAAAGGAGAGGGGAAGAGAGAGAGACTGGGGGTAGGCAATAAGAGAACATCCATTGTGCACTTGCTGTGGGCAGTGTGTTCCTCTGTACCTTAGTAGTTCAGTTAATCCCGCTACTACCCTGCAAGTCCAGAATTGTCATCCCCCAGAGCTGCAGGGGGAAAGCCGAGGTCAGAGAAGTGAGGTGACTTCCCAAAGATGCATAGAGAGGAGAGAACAAAGCTGGGTTTATCCTAAATCTTCGCTATAGAATTGCATGCTCACCCAAACCTCTGCCAAGGGCACATTGTGAAGGAAGATACTATCTCTCACCAATCATAATCTCTTCTGTGCACGAAGCTATTTTTCTCATTCCTTCTGAACAGATGAAAGCTTTGTAACCTCTTCAGATAAGATGAGCAAATGTAGTGCCCACCAGTCAGTCATAAAGTGGAGGGGGACAGGCATTGGGTTACAGTGCTGAAGGGGAATGCCTGTAGTCCCCACCGGCAGGTCTGGTTCATGTCGCATGGCCCAGCTCCACTTCCAATTCCAGCTTCCTGTGAATGTGCACGCAGAAAGGCAGCACAGAGAGGATCCCTGGTGCCCTTGTGAGAAACCCAGATTGTGTTCCAGCTCCCAGCTTTGGTCTAGCCAAGCCTTGGCTGCTGCAGGCATTTGAGGAGCAAACCAGCTAATGGAAAACATTTTATCTATCTATCTATCTATCTATCTCCTTCTCACCCTCTCTCTCAAGTAAATGAATTTTAAATGTTTGTTCAGTAAAAATACCACAACCAAACTCTATTTGTATTTATTTATTGTAAATGATAGTAGATGTCTTCTTTATTTTAAAAGTACCATGTTCATTAGTAAAAACTTGAGAAATAAGAATAGAAAAAAAAACCATATGTCATGCTATAAACAATATAAACTACTTGTTAACCTTTTTATCTTGTAAGATTTATTTAATTTTATTGGAAAAGCAGGTTTACAGAGAGAAGAAAAGACAGAGAGAAAGATTTTCTACCTACTGGTTCACTCCCCAAAGGACTGCAATGGCTGGGGCTAAGTAGATCTGAAGCCAGGAGTCAGGGTCCTCCTCCAGATCTCCCACAAAAATACAGGGTGCCAAGGCTCTAGGTCATTCTCCACTACTTTCCTAGACCTCAGACAGACAGATTGCTGTAGATGAGCAGTCTTTTCAATTGAATACTAATACTGTGTATCACATCAGCCTCTTAACCATAAGCTCCTCTGGCTGAGTAGCATCCTTTAGCTTTACTCAGCCACTCCCCTTTTTGAACTTTTAGATCCCTTCTAAGTGTCCAGTGTTAGACGTATGTTACAGGGAACAATTCTGCACATGAGGTATTTTCTGTGCTTAAGATGATCCCTTAAATCAGGGGATCCTTGTGAAGTATAGGACCCTGTGCAGGACTTTTCCCAACAATACACCCTTGTGCTCTTCTGGATTAATGTTGCACACAGGGTCTGGCACGATGGCTCAATTAGCTAATCCTCACCTTGCATGGGCCAAGATCCCATATGGGCGCCAGTTCGTGTCCCAGCTGCTCCACTTACCATTCCACTCCCTGCTTGAAGCCTGGGAAAGCCGTAGAGGATGGCCCAATGCCTTGGGACTTGAATCCATGTGGAAGATGTAGAGTAAGCTCTTGGCTCTTGGCTTCAGACCGGCTCAGCTCCAGCCATTGCAGCCCTTTGGGGAGTGAACCAGCAGGTGGAAGATCTTTCTGTCTCTCTTCCTCTCTTGTAAATCTGACTTTCCAGTAAAAGTAAATAAATCTTAAAAAAAAAAACGTTGCACATAATTCTAGATCCCATGTAGAAATAGAATGCTTTTCCTTCATCCTGCAAATGACAAGTATGTGGCCTGACCTGCAGGTCTAAAGCCAAAAGGAAGCTTTGCTGACCTGAGCATTTGCTCTTTTTGTCACCATCAGTTTCCGTGGGTTATGAGTATGAATCCTGCCCAGACCTGATCCTGTGGGAAAAAAGAACAGCCATGCTGCAGGGATATGAAATCGATGCATCCAAGCTGGGGGGCTGGAGCCTGGACAAGCATCATGCCCTCAACATCCAAAGTGGTGAGTGCACTCGTGGACTGCCTGGAGCGCCAGGCTGGAGTGTGATCTAGCCTCAGAACCCTGGGCGCTGTCAAAAATGTACACCTGTGTTTCACATGGATGCCTGCACAATCAGATCAAACGGAGGGTACCTGCTGCAAGCCTACCACTCTCCCAGGCATGGAAGATACACTCGGGAGAGGCCTTAAGACTTGAGCAGGCGAACACTCCCCAGGCAGCTTCAGTGCTGAGCCATGGAGCATGGGACTGCCGGGACACGCAAGAGCAGCAGCTTACTCAGCACCCTGGTATATCAGGCATCCTCGTCAGAGAAATCTCACTGCTCACTGCTTAAAAGACTCTCAGATTAGTCCTGGGTGTCAAGGAGGGAGAGCATGCTAGGCTGATGGTACGATATGTACCAAAGTGTTAAAGCCCAAAAGAGTAACTGGAGAGTGGGTTCCCTGTGAAGTTGGATCCAAGCATGAGATGAGGAGAGGAGCAGGTGCCACACTGGAGCTTGAGCTGCTGAAACGCAGAGTAAGACCTCACCTTCATCCAGAGGCCAGGGTCAAGCCTCTGGCAGATAGAAGTGTGTGCATGTGTGTGTCTCAGAAAACTCCCTCTGACTGTGTTTTGGGATTGAGACAACTGAATGTGGTCATGAGACCAGACAACTCTTGGGGTCACGCAGGCACACAGGTTATACCTCTTAGAGCCACAGCATGTTCTGGGAGGGAAGCTGGTAATTTCTAAACTTTAGGATGGAATAAAGAGGCATAAGTAGCAAAGGCAGTCATTAAGAGAAAAAAGATTCATAAGGTAATAAGGTGCCTTCACACACCCATGATATCAAAAATGGTGTGATGTTAGCTTAGGTCGTCAGAGTGTCAGAGAAGCCAAAATAGGAGAACTGCATACAAGTGAAAGTTTGTTTCTCCCTCACTTCTAAGACTGGAGGTAAACAGACACCCACATAAGTCAGTAAGTCACCACGGAGCACAGGCTCAGAAGTCCGGGCTGCTCCTCCCACCTCCTTCCTCTGCCCATGCTTTCCTTTTCAGGTCACGGTCCAAGGTGAGCAGGCTGGCTACAACGCTCACCTTTACCTGCCATCCCATGAAAAGAAGGAGAAGAATGCAGGGCAAGCCCCCTGCATTGCAAGAATACCTCATGACAGCTGCCCATTGCACTAATACTTAGCACACTACCAGTGGAAGTCACTCGAGGAGGTTAGGAGTCAAGGAGAACAGTCTGGCCTGGGTCATCCCCAGCAAGGTGGCAGGTGTTGCATAACTGTAGGAAGGGAGGATGTCCGTGAGTTCTAGACTGCCTCTGCTACACACCATGCTTGCGTGGGAACTAGATGCACAGTAGCCCTGGCATCACACTAGATGCGTACTTTTGGCACTGGTGATAGGAAAATTGGCTTACTCCATGTAGAAAAATGGTATACATTCCCACTTCACACAGTTTACAAAATACATGTGTTTTTCTTAAACATCTTGAAGTGAAAGATAACACTTGAAAATTAATGGAAAACAGCAACTAGACTTCCTAGAGTCTAACACAGCACAAACCTTCATGTGGAACCATCCTTATTTAAACTGCATGGGAAGTAAAGTTACCTGTTCCCTAAAGCAGAGCGTAGACAGACTTAGAGACAAGAAACAGCTGGAGCAAAGCCAAGGGTGTGCAGACTTCAGGGCAGGAGGCAGGTTGGAGGCTGCAAAAGAAGCTTACAGGTTACTGACTCATCCCCTCGGTTTTTGTGGGTGAAGAAACAGGCCTAAGGACTGCCAAGAAACCTATGCATACTCTGGGCACAGCCCCTTGTGGCAAAATAAAGAGAAAAAACAAGTGTCTTGGCTCTTCCTTGATGAGAAGCATCTGGGAGTGTCACTTAGTCGTGTCTGTAACCCCGTGTATGTTGGATTCTGCAGTAGGCACCGGGGACTTGGGAGGTGGTGTCAGCTGACAGGAAGGAGTGCAGCAAGCACAGCTTAGCATCCAGGCAGCAATGGAGTCTGCACTGGGTCTCTGAGGTGTGCATGGCCACTCTTAAGGCAGCATGGCTGGATGGTCCAGATCCACCTGAGACTTCTTCCAGCCACCATCCGTGTGACCCCTTCCTGCTGGAAGGCTCACCTGGCAGGACATGCTGGGAAGTCACAATGGGGGTGAGGCAGAGAGAGATGCTACAGAGTCAAAGTGTCCCTGGGATTGTCCACAGGAAGAGAGCACCACTGCCCGCTCCATAGGTGATTCTGTCTTTTTGTCTTTGGCCCAGGAATCCTGCACAAAGGAAACGGGGAGAACCAGTTTGTGTCCCAGCAGCCCCCTGTCATTGGAAGCATCATGGGCAATGGGCGCCGGAGGAGCATTTCCTGTCCCAGCTGCAACGGCCTCGCTGATGGCAACAAGCTCCTGGCTCCCGTGGCTCTCACCTGCAGCTCTGATGGGAGCCTCTATGTGGGTGACTTCAACTACATCCGCAGGATCTTCCCTTCCGGAAATGTCACCAACATCCTGGAGCTAAGGTATGAGAGGAGACCCCTGGCTGATGCTGAGCTCAGGCCAAAAGGCTTATCCAGGCAGTGCCCCTCTCCCTCTGCGCGGCTAAGGCAGCCCTTTTCCTGCCCGCCTCATAGCCGGCAGTGGCACATGGTCACAGTGAGCCCATGGGAAGGCTGCGGTGTGTTGGATTAGTTTATGTGCCTCTGGAAGCCAGGTAGTTTTGGGAGCCAGAGCGTAAGCACAGGGTGGGCTCTGAGGTTACAGAGAAACTGTGCCCCGTGACGGGAGCATGCCTTGCTCGCCTTCAAGAGAAATTGTTCCAAGAGCTTCCCTCGCAACTGTGGTAAGGAGGGACTGGCTTCTCCCCAGGGCCTGGGTTCACGCAGGCAGGTCTCCCCCAGTCCACCAGCTGGAAAACAGGCCCCAGAGAGGAGACAAGCATGTGCCCAGTTCCCATGGTGGTGTATCAGCTCTGGAAGGTGTTGGCAATCATCCCTCTTTGCTACACGAGGGGGTCCGAGGGATTTACAGAACTGGTCCCGTGCCTCAGAGGTCAGCCTCGCCAAAGAAATTGGTACTTGGCTCAGTGAAAGCCATCCTGACTTCATGCCTTGCAGCACTGGGTACTCCCTGCAGGTGTGGGAGAAGGGCCGGGCCGGTTGGCTGCGCTGGGAGCTGGGGTCACCCTCAGGGCAAGTGATGGCCTGTACTGGGGGCTGGGTGAGGACAGCTCATATACTGTGCAGTCTCCCAGGAAGCTGGATCACTTCCAGGTGGTCCACCAGGCATATGCACCCCACCTTTCCCCTCTCTATTATAAGTCAGACTGGCAGAGACATCTGTCATCATGAAGTAATCCTGGTATGAATCTAGATGTCCTAGAATGGGAAGAGCCTTGGACTGGGGGTATCCTCGTATCTTCACTGTGGCAGACAAGCTGTGCAGCTCAGGATAAGTGGCTTAACCTCTCTGGGCCTCTCTTTTCAGATCTTTCAGCTGAGAGATGCTGTTTTCCCTGTCTCTCTCCTGTGCAACTGTCAGGAAGGGAGGCAGTAGGTAGGGAATGGAAGAATATGTGAAATTTGGAAAGAACTATGCCTACATCTGAGTATTAGCATCTTAACCTTTCTCCTTCCTCACCCTCCCCTCTAATTACAGTCTCTGTCCAGTGCTGTGCCCCATTATGAGTAGGAGCTTGGTGTGTTTCCTGGTGTTAATTGCCCGTGGTAGGGAAGTGTGCCTGCAGATGGAGATACAGGGTAGTGCGTGTGTGTGCGTGTGTGTGCGTGTGCACTCACACACGTGCACCCAGAGAAGAGCCTTCACTATTCCCCGTGTCTGACCTTGCCCCTGTGAACGCATCAGAATGTGCCAGCCCAGTTCTCTGCCCCCAAAGGGAGTGGCAGTGGTGCCGGGGAAGCCACTTGTAAGTGACGAGTCATATCCAACAGGAAATCTATCAGTGTCATAGCTGCTAAGTCTGTGTTCATGATAGCGTTGCTCGGTACCATTGCTGTCAAGTTGGTGGACTACTAATAATGCTTCTAACCCTGCTGCTAACACCTCATTCTTTCTTCTATTCCCTGCTCTCCTGTCTTCTGTCAGAAATAAAGATTTCAGACATAGGTAAGCCACTGGTGGAGAATTTCCTGTCCCTCCCCCTGTCTTGTTGCATGCGGTGTGGTAAGCTGCGTGTGTCAATTTCAGATGGCTCCATGGCACGGGAACCCTGGGTGATTAGAACTGATTGTGGGTACTCAGCTGTGCCAAGAGGAAGTCACTAATAATGGGGGGCGGGAGATGGAGCCGTGGACTCCCTGAGTGTGTGACAATGAGGCAGTCACTCTGCTTGTCTGGGGCTGTGACAGGCTGAAGTAATGGGAGAAAGCATTTAAACCTTGACTGGCAGAGTCTGCTTTATCCTTAAAATAAATGAGGACATCGTGCTAAGGGTGTTGAGTGACTCTGCTGGCTGTACTGGGACACCTGAGAACACCTGATCAGGTGAGGAATCTCCAAGTTAGGATCCAGGTCTGTCCTTCCACAGGCATCCCAGGTGTCTTGGCATGGGGGCTGCTGACTAACCCCATCAACAGGTGCACCATCAAAAATGGAACAGACCCCAGGGATGGCCTGCAAAGAATTGTCCCAATGTAGACATTTGCCACATAGCAGATGTGACTCACAGTGACACTGCAGCTGACAGGAGCTGCAGTGGTCAGACACATGAGACATGCCCACCTGTCGTCGGTATAACTTGTCATGGTGAGATCCACCTGGTTCAGTCTCCTGAACCCACCCCCTCCCATACACACACACAAGGTGGTGGTTTGAAGTGAAGCTGTGACAGATACAGCTGTGGCTTCCTTTATCCACCTGGGCTCAGTTATGTCACCTGTGGTATGTGGCCTGGTGCTGAGCCGGAATCAAAGTCTTGGGTGGAAGAAGAGTCAGGCAGACCCCAAACTCAGGATTGATTCTCTATACTCCTGTATAGATAGATTCTGTATACTCCTGTATAGATAGATTGTATAAAATCATAGATCCTAAAATAACCATTAGCATGTACAGAGCTAATGTATTAGCTAATGTATTCTGTATATGAGAGAGGCTACATCATTTACATAAATGTCAGCATTGTATCCTCAAACTTCTCTGAGGTGATGCCCGTTCTACAGAGAGGAAAACTGGTTTCCCCAGGTGTGTAGCCTCGAGAAACTTCCTTCTCTCTGAGCTTTGAGTCCAGCTGGCATTTCCCTTAGCAGGTTGTAAAGTTCCCAGGTTGTTGTGACATGGTCACAGGCTCATAGAGAAATTCCAGAAGTAGCAGTGCTAATCACAGGAGCAAACACATGCTATTTGTATTATTAATTGTGATTATGATATATCCTCATCAAAACATTGTATGATGGTAGTGGTGATAGTGGTTCTATTTTCCCAAAAAGGAATGGAGTCCAGCAAATTAAATGGAAATTGGGAACAAAAGGCAAAAGAAGGAAAGGGCCTAAGTGATTGTCCAGCAAATTAGACTAAGCTTCTTGGCAGGCAGAGTTCCTAAGCAAAACGGAATCAATCTCATAGCTCCCATGGTTGGAGATGGGAAATATGCCCAGTTCGCAGAGAACTTTATCCTGACACTACAGAGATGTTGAGTGTGGTCTGCTACCCTGGGGGTCCTCAGCTCTGTTTTACAAATCGCGCAGGAGCTCATGGCTCCTGCAGCTCCTCCCTGGAAAGTGGGCATTTCTTAGGGCATCAGTCCATTGGTGGTGGTGACTGGGCACAACTTCCATGCAGGAGGACATGGCTTGGAGGACTCAGGAGGCCAGTGTGTTTGGCCAGTGCCCCTGGATACTTGGTGTGGCCTTAGCTCTCTCACCCTGCTCTCCTGGCCCCTCATCACCTCTAAGCAGAAACAGGTTTGGATTGTTTGTTCCAGGTGCATGATTTCAAAGTGAGCTTCCTGTCCACTCAAATCATTCCTTGTTCTAGTGCTACGAACTGCTTCTTAAGTAAACCATGATAGAAGGGAAAGAAGGCATTACTTTCTGTCTTTCAGTTTTCGTTTTCTTTTTCTTTTTCACAGATTGGTTTTATTTATTTGAAAGGCAGAGGGGTGAGGGGAAGATGGAGAGAGAAAGAGAGAAGGAGAGATAGAAATCTTCCATCCACTGGTTTGTTCATTCTCCAAGTAGTCTCAACACTGGGGATGGACCACACCAAAACCAGCAGTCTGGGACTCCATCTGAGTCTCCCATGTGGGTGGCAGGGGCCCAGGCAGTGCACCGTCTTTTGCTGCTTTTCCAGGTGCATCAGCAGGAAGCTGGATCAGAAGTGGAGCAGCTGGGACTTAAACCTATGTTCATAGAGGATGCCAGCATCACAGGTGTTGGCTTAACTCGTTTAGCCACAATGCTGGACCTCATTCCAATTTCCTAAAGACATTCAGGAGACAGAAACCTGTGCTCTACTTCTCTGCTTAGGTAGCAGAGCTCTTCCTCTCTCTGGGCCTCAGGATCTGTACTAGTCAGTGTTGGAGGTGGATTAGAGCAATCCTGGAATGCTGTCCTCTGTGTGCCTGAACTGAAACAGCTGCTCTCAGGAAGTGCTTGGCTGCACAGTGGTAACCCTAACCTATGTACATGTTCCCCTGCAGCAGGTTCTTCTCTGCCTTTGGCTTTTCAGTCTTTTCTTTAAAAAAAATGTTTTATTTGAAAGACAGAGTTACATAGAGAAGGAGAAGCAAAAAAAGAAAGACTTTCTTTCTGCCCATTCACTCCCCAAGTGGCCACATGGCTCGGGCTGTGCCAAGCCAAAGCAAAATACCTGGCATGTCTTTCGGGTCTCCCACATGTGTGTAGGGCTCATGCATTTGGGCCACCTGCTGCTGCTTCCCAGGGACAATATCAAGGAGCTGGGCTGGAAGTCGAGTAGCTAGGGCTTGACCTAATGCCCATAGGGGTTGCTAGCATTGCAGGGGGGTGACTTACCATGATATGTCACAGCATTGGCTCTTACCCTTGGCCTTCTTGTGCTCATCACCAGACACCCCATCTCGGGGTCAGCCCAGACAGCCCATCCTTTGGCAGCTCTGTGGACACCTTCAGAGAACCAGTGAACTCACCTCTTTCTTCCCAGATTTCCCTGGACCATACAGGGGCAATTTTTTAAAAAAATTTATTTATTTTCATTGGAACGTCAGATATACAGAGAGGAGACACAGAGAGGGAGATCTTTCATCTGTTTTCACTCCCCAAGTGGCCTCGACGGACAGAGTTGAGCCAATCCAAAGCTAGGAGCCAAGAACCTCTTCTGGGTTCTCCCGCACAGGTGCAGGGTCTCAAGGATTTGGACCATCCTCCATTGCCTTCCCAGGCCACAAGTAGGGAGCTGGATGGGAAGTGGGGCTGCTCAGCTTAGAACTGACACTCCCATATGGGATCCTGGCGCATTCAAGGTGAGGACTTTAGCCACTAGGCTACTGTACCAGCCCCTCAAACAGGGACATTTAAACGTGTTCTTCAGTACCTTGGAATTCAAATCACCATCCAGTCCAGCTACACACAGTCATTCGGCAGAGCCCTTAACCATGTGAGACAGTGAGCTGCCCAGGACCCCATGGAGCCCAGTGTGTTTCACTTGCCATTATGCACCAGCAGCAAAATGCGAAAGGTCTCTCAATGTCACCAAGTACACTTAAAAGCTCCCAATTATTGGGTGCTTCAATTTTTAGTGGTACAGGATCTATGCTTAAAGACTAGCATTCCTCGCACAATATTGTCCTCAAAATCACTTTGAAGTAGATATGATTATCACCATTTCTCACATGGAAAAAAAAAGCTGGCTCAAAGTAATGAAGTGATTTGCCTGAGGCCGCTTACATATTGAAAGTGGTGTTTGACCCCACATCTGTACAACTCCTGCGCTCCAGCTCTTCCTGCTGAGGCTGAGAGCACAGATGAGGCCCTGGGCATGAGAAAGGACTGCCACAGCTTGTGCAGACCCCAAGGCACTACTGTCACTGCCACCCTCTCCTGGGATCACCGAGCTAAGAACTGCTGGGGTTGGGCAGGAGGTATGAGGGTAGAAAGTTGGGGAACTAATCCGAGTGCACCGGAGCCCCATCATAGTCCCTCAGGGACTGTTCTCTGCCAAGGGAAATAACACCAGGATAACATGAGTGGCACACATGAAAATGGAATCATCCGTATGCCTCACAGCCATCATCAGAAAAACAGAAAAATAAGGCTATCCTGGTTTTGCAGAGGGATACTAAATCTATGCCACTTGACAGGATAAGTCACCGGGGACATTTCAAGATCAACAGGACATCTGACCAGCTAGCACCACCCCATAAGAGAAGTAACATCTAAGTTGTTTCAATGGAAAATGCTACCCAAATACAGCAAAAACAGAGATGCCACGTACTTACAGCAAGTGGCTAGCCTGAGTCAAAAGGCAACCAAGCAGAACACTGGAAAGGCCAAAATGAATGAAATCCAGTCTCTTCCCTTCCAATATTGACAAGTCAGCCTTGGGAGACACACACGAGTAAATCGCCCCAGCATTTTGTACGTGTCCCGTAATCTAGATGTGAACAGATAGAAGTTTCAGCACATAGAGAAGAAAGGTGGGTGAGGGTTGCCAGAAAAGGTGCCCCTGGATCGACACCTAAGGAATGAATGGAGAAAGGAAGGGGTCAGGCCATACCATAGAGCTAGAGCAGCAGGTACAAATGGGCCCAAAGTCACACTTGAGGGACATTTTATCATGGTATGAGGTTTACACAGGCTGTTTGTGAGGGCCAAGCTGCTGAGCTGGCTCAGCAGGAAAGCTTTGCATACTGTCCCAGGAGCCTGCCTTGAACTCTGGGGGAGTTGAGTGCTAGAAGAGGGGAGCATTGCAGTAACAAATTAGGACCCAAGTTAGTTTAGGAGGAATGACTTGAAGCAGGCACAAGCTGGAGGTCAGAGATTTGAAAAGAATGTGTTGTGAAAGTACTTTCCAAAGCAAGGGACCTTTAGAAAGGCAACGTTCAGGGCCAAATCAAGATCCTCAGTGACCTAGACCCTGGAAATTATGTGGTATCAAATTTGATAGGAAATCCAATTCAGAAATCTGTAAAAATAGAGTTTTATTTTTCCAAAGGACAGAAAAATGTCCCTGCATGACAAATACTAAGTAGCTGCTTTCTAGACTTGGCTGATTCTCTTGCTTGCGTCTTAGAGGGGTATGCTGTGTGTCCTGCCTTGCTGGTGCTCCGTCTCCTCTAACCCCATCACATTCTGTACCCTGTTGTACAGTGAAGAGGGCCACTGCTGGGCAGTCCATACTGAATGAGTAACAAGAGCTTCCTTTGAACCCAAAGATGTGCCCAAGGCTGAGAAAGACTGCAAATTGGGAAATGAAACCTACAGCCCTGACTGACTAATGAGGCTGTGCACAAGAACTGGAAAGTGGCTTCCCAGCAGTAGTGCATCCCACCCAGTGTGCCCTAAACTCGGAAAGCATTGTCATTTCAGTTCTCTGGGATAGCAAGATTCAGGCTTAATAAGAGACACCATCTATTCTGTAATCATCACCAAATGTAAAAATAGGTGCAATCACTGGTAATTACAATGCTAATTATTACATACCTCCTATGTCCCGGACTCTGTTAAATGCTTTGCATGGATGACTTTTTGCAATGTTCCCAATGCAATAGCAAGGTAGCCCCAAGTTCCAAAATACAGAAAATTTGATGCTTAGGAGGCTGGGTAACTCACCCAGTGTCAGAAGAAGAGATTACAGAGCTAGACTGGGAACACAGGCTGACCTGATTGCAAATCCCATGTTTTGTATCTCTCCTGCAGCCAGAGAAGGAGCCCTGTCTGTGTCCCTCTCCCATCTACCTCTCTTTTCTCTCTTTCAGAATCCAGTCTTTAGGACTGATTTTCATAAACAGACCATCGGCAGCCAAGCTGCTGCCTTTGGTTTATTCTTTCCTTGACTATTGCTGCAAATTACAGAGTAATCCTGAAGTTGGCTTCTAGCTTCTCTCAATAAGGCCTTGGAAAGCAGAAGAGGATGGCCCAAAGCCTTGTTACCCTGCACCTGTGTGGGAGACCTAGAGGAAGCTCATGGCTCCTGCCTTCAGATCAGCTCAGCTCTGGCTATTGCAGCCACTTGGGGAGTGAACCAATGGACAAAAGATCTTTCTCTATGTAAATCTCCCTTTTCCATAAAAATAAATCTCTCTTTTAAAAAGTCTCCTGGTAAGAGTAATGTGAGGACCAACAACAGGCAGTGTTGGAATGTCCCAGGAGTTAGGTCTTGCTAAGGTCTCATCTATCAAGCTTAAGATGGAGATAGGAAGATGCAATGTAGAAATCCAGCAGGAAAGTGTGTGTGTGTGTGTGTGTGTGTGTGTGTGTGTGTGTGTGTGTGTGTGTACGCCCTGAACTCTGCAAGTGTTTCTCAAAGTCAGCCTCCATGATGCTAGCTTGGATTAACAAGCTACCTCTGGTAAGCCTCACTGTTCATCTTTTCAAGAAAGGCTGCATCAGGTGCCTGAGGGGACCACAGTAGTGCTCTCCCAAGAGGGTTCTGTATTGGTACGTGCAGGGAGGGCTAGGGAAGCCAGTCATTGAAGTCAGAGAAGTCGGGAAACTGCCACAACAGGGGCATTATCCTGTAAGACCGCCTTGCTGATGCTTGAAAGGTGGGGGGGGCGGGGCGGGGCGTGGTGGGAGGGATATTTGCGTTGTGTGTTTCTAGCTGCCTGATTGGACTTAGGAAGTGCTCACTTATGGTGTGTCTCTGTTCCGTAGCCACAGTCCAGCCCATAAATACTATCTGACCACGGACCCCATGAGTGGGGCTGTCTTCCTGTCCGACACCAACAGCCGGCGCGTCTTTAAGATCAAGTCCACCACAGTGGTGAAGGACCTTGTCAAGAATGCAGAGGTGGTGGCAGGCACAGGAGACCAATGCCTTCCCTTCGATGACACGCGTTGCGGAGATGGCGGCAAGGCCACAGAAGCCACACTCACCAACCCCAGGGGTAAGTCCTGACCCTTTAAGACACCATCAGTATCCTTTATTGGGCATTTCCCATACCCCAAATACAAACAAGTTTATTATTGCAAGCATTTGGGGAAAATACCAAGAAATACATGGAAGGAAAGTTGAAATTGTGATCATTCTCCCTGCCAGAAATACTCCCAGTTCATATTTCCTATCTTTCTTTCTAGTCTTGTGCCCAAATCTGTGTGTGTATGTGATAGTCATTAAAAAGCAGGAACAAGATGAGATGCCTTGAGCGGAGTGCTGTAGCCTGTTGCTTTTCTCCCCACCTGACCTGTCATGGAGGTTTCTCCGTGTCCTTGGCCTTCTGAGTGCTTTGTTTATATGACTGTCCAGCCTTTCATCACGTGGCTGTCCCATTGCTCACCCTTCCTGGTGACTGCTGATGCTCTCATCTCATCCATGTGGTCAGGGCGACCCTGACCCCTTATAGGACAAGCTGTCATTCTCAACATACTCCCTCATGTGGAGCATGCCCTGTGTGGCCAGCCTGCCAGCCTGTGATTTAGCATGTCTACACCTCAGGGCCGTTGACAGTAGAATAGGGCCAGCAGTGCTAGGATCTTTCTATGGGTCAAATGAATAGCTTTCAGAAAAGACCTAATGCCATGGTTGTCAGTGATTGTCAGTGATTAGATTACTATATACTGACAGATTTCAGCACCTGGTTTCAAAGCAAAGCAATAGAATCTAGTGAAATTACTCAAATTCAGGATTTTGCATTTAGTAACTGTGTGACTTTGGGCAAGTTGCTTAACTTCTCTGAGCCTTATTTTTCTCATCTGTGCTCTAGGGATGCAGGGCATAGCTGTAGTATACAGTAAATACAATCAGAAATGTCAGCACTTAGTACAATGGTTCCAGGCATGTGGGGAACACCCTGTGACTATGTCCTAATAGACAGCATCCCATCCCATCCTATATCATCCTGTGTTATCAGTCATGCTCTGGATAAATACCCTGTCTTCCTTGTTGAGTGGCTCTCCTCATTGTAAAACCGTGGTACTGAGAGATCAGCCCAGTGTGAGAAGAACACTGGCCTTGTGCTTAGGGATCTGGTGTTCTGATTTTCCTCTGCACGTGGCTGTCCCTAGAACCTCCATCTCTAGGGCTCTGTTTCCCCTTTTGTAAACAGGCAGGCTGGGCTGAAAGCCCTCCCCCACTGCCCCGCCAAGACCTCCTCCAGCTGCAGTGTCCTACTCTGCTAGAACACAAACCACTTGGCCCGAGGATGTTCTTCACCCCAGGCCTCTCTCATGTACATTCTCTGCCCACCCTCCCTCCCGTGCTTACACAAACAGTAGCAGTACAGTTTCCCAAAAGGCTCTCATTAACCCAGAGAGACATGACAGGGGTACCAGAATATGTGGGCACTTTGGAGCAGTCAGGAGAAAAGATGTCCATGTCTTTAGCACAACAAAAGAAGGAAATAAAATGAAGTCATTAATCAGGGGACAGATCACTTCTCTTATGCTGTGCAGCCAGCTATGTAAACAAGCGTGGCAATTGTTGCAGGAGTGCTCCTCGGTCCCAGCAGATGGGAGAGAACAGCACATAGGCACGCAGACAACAGCATGTCTGTCTCAGTGCATCCAGAAGGAATTCAGTTTACATTCTGGGCAGAGCCACATGGGATGCTGTCCTGCCCTAGGCAGCCTGGTGCTCCATGGAAACTCTCCACTACCCACCAAGCCACCTAAGAAGGTGGCAAGGGACAAACAACCTGTGCTCCAATGAGTCCTCACCTGGTGGAGGCCCTCTTCCCCACCCAGCTGGCCAGCCAGAGCCCCACAGGCTCCCAGACCTCGAAACCCAAGAAGTGCTGACCCCCTCTTAGGATTATAGTAGTCATTAATAGTGATTGAGGCCCAGCTGTTACTGTTTCCTTATTAATCAGTGAGGATACTGAGACTTAGAACTGAAGTAATTTGCCAAAGCTAATACAAGGAAACGTCAACATTTTTATCAAGAATGAATGATAATTTTGTTTTGGCACCAAAAAAATTTTTGAAATCTATTCATGGTTTTATTTCTGTTTTGTATTGTTTTCATAATACAGGTTTTTTCATGAACATGTTCAAGTGCCCTTATGTAACTAGAGAGCAAGAGGCAGAAAAACAGAAAGCAGAGCTCCCATCCACTAGTTTGCTCTCTAATGCTCATAGCATTTGCAGCTGAATTTGGGGGCTGGAAATATAACAGAGATCTTTCGCATGAGTGGCAGGTGCTCAGTCTCTTGAGGCATCATGGCGGGCTCCCGAGGTCTGCATTAGCAGGCTGCTGGGGTCAGGAGCCAGAGACAAGATTTGAACCCAGATACCCCAATACTGCAGTGTGGGACACAGGCATCCTCACTGCTGGGCCAAACCCTTGCCACCAGAGAGCTGATTTATAACTCAAGTGCCTCTTTCTGGATGAGACCATCAGGACCTGCCCAAGAGGAAAGGGAACAGAACCAGAGTGACCACAGTGTCCTCTGTTTCCCCATGACTCTCTGCACTCTGTCACTTCCTACAGCATACCTCATGGGTCTGACTCATTCCTGGACTTCTCCACCTGGACCAAGCGCTCCTCAGGGCTGGCTACCCCTGCTTTCGTACTTACAGGAGTGAGGCCAGGCAGGTGTATGTTGGAAAAGCTCTCCAAGTGATTCCGACAGACATCACTGCTAAGTAAGTCTGTGCAGTGGCTGCAGACTGTTGTGTGTGTCCTTATCACCCAAAGTGCTTGTGAGAAAAACAAACAGCTGCCAAGGCCCCCACTTGGGATGTCCTCAAGCTGCTACGTGGGAGTGCATTTCTGCCAGCTCCATCGGTGATAGCCACATACATCCATGAGTGAGAAGCGCAGATTTACAACAACTCCTTTATTTTTCAGCACAGAAAACAAATGCAGAGATGTCCAATGATTTGCCTACAGTCCCCCAAGTTGGGACAGGGAGGAAATGAACTGACTTAAAGTCTAACAAATAGATCAGGTGATGCTGAATAAGAGGCCAGCCTCCTCTCTTCAGTGTGCCTTCAGTGTGGTGGGTTTAGAGGTTAAGATGCTGCTTGGGACACTAGGATCTCAAATTGAAGGGCCTGGATTTAAGTCCCAGTTCCACTTCCAGCTTTAGCTCCCTGCCCTTTGTACTGTGGGAGTCAACAAGAAATGGTTCAAGTAGTTGGTCCCTGATTCCTACATAGGAGATGTAGATTGAATTCCTGGCTCAGTACCCAGCTAATACAGGCAGGTGGGAAGTGAGCCAACAGGTGGGGGCACTCATTCATTCTCTCCCTCTCCCTCTCCCTCTCCTTCTCCCTCCCCCTCCCTCCCCCCCCCATTGTCTCTCTCTGTATCTCAAATTAAATGTTTATACATATATAGTCTACACCAATCCATAGGATTCTTTTCAAAGTCTACACTTTTGTAAAGACCAATGAAATAATGATAGAAATATGTAAAGTATGATTCTCTTGCAAAGAAAGAAAAATGGTTACCAACAGAGGCGTTTGGTTATTATAACCACAGGGCTTCAAAAGTAGGCTGCTTGAAATAACTCACAAAGTAGGTAATGAAAAGCCCCTAGTGTTTCCACAAATCCCCAGAAGTTAGGGGTCCTGTTTTGGTGGTTGCTAAGATGATAGGTGGACAGAGGTAGCAAGGTTGGAGGACCAGAGCCTCAGAGAATTTGCTTGAAACAAGTCACCCAGAGCCTCCATGCCCCCTCTCCTCATGGGGAAAGGCCAGTGAAGTGTGGGAGAAACTCAACTGAGCTCACAGGGGCAAGTTCTGCCAACTTAAGAGGCTCCCACGTGTGTGTTGTGATATTCACCAACTCTGAGCTCCCTGTTGGTCTTCCCCACCTCCAGGCATCACAGTGGACAAGTTCGGGCTGATTTACTTTGTGGACGGCACCATGATCAGACGAATCGACCAGAATGGGATCATCTCCACTCTGCTGGGCTCCAATGACCTCACGTCAGCCCGACCGCTCAGCTGTGATTCTGTCATGGATATCTCTCAGGTAGGGAGGGGGCTTTGTCTGCTGGGGCCCTGAGTCTGCATGCTCCCCATCGATCACTTGCCAGCTCACTAGCCCTTCATTTTTGCTCTCAACAAGGCTTGCAAGGGCACCCAATTGGTGTTGGGCCAGTGAGCAGTACCAAGGACCCAGAGATGAGTAAGACATCGTGCTGGGCTCTGGCATTCACAGTCAAAGTGACAAGCGTGAGCCTGGCCCTGGGAAGCCTCAGAGGCAACAGAACAAGACAGATGGACTTGACACAGTGTGACTCCACAGCCACCTGTTCTTCCTCTTCCGTAACGCTTTCCAGTACTTGTATACTGTCTATCAACTCCTTCTATACCACAAGCTACCTGGGAATAGCCATCTGTCCATCGTCTCTTCTGCTGCATCCAGGATACTAGAAGTACAATCCATACATGTTGACTGATTAACTGCTCTGTTAATGGGCTCCTAGCTCAGCCACTCCCTAGCACATTTACATGCCAGTGAAATGGAAATGGTTCACATGAGTCTGGCAAGATCACCTTGAGAATACCCGGGGTGAGGCATGTTCAATTCCTGGTGCTACTTGGCATCTGAAAGCTAATGAACTCCAGTACTCACCTGCACAAAGGTCAGGTTTTGGAAACTGAATAGGGCTCTCTCTGGGTGTCAAGGAAAAGGAGACATTTGACACACGCACACACACAGTGATGGCATGTGCAAAGGCACAGTAATTAGTGATCTGGGCGCCTTCAAAGAGCACTGGAGAATGGAATGCCAGAGCACAGGGTACATGGAAAACATAGCAGGAGCTGCAGTGGCATGCATGACTTGGATCCATGCTTATCATAGCACTCCAGAAAGTTTTCTGAACCTTGACACAGGGGCACCTGGAACTCAGGGCAGAGCAGAGGGATCAACGTGACTGGTTGTCTAGCACATCCTTAATACATGCTGCAAAGACTTGGCAAGAAGGTGACTGTCATTGCTAGGACTTTGGCATGCCTGGTCTGTCAACGAAACTGCTTCTTGCCAACATGACCGAAATCTGAGAAATAAGGATGCTTACTTCAGGTCAAATGGCAGATCGTCTTCAGACCCAACTACACCTGGTTATTCAGACCTCCCAGGGAAGTCCTTTGCAGTGACGGGGATCTTACTGGTGATGTCAGCCTCTGTTACTGCTTGTGTGGCTGAGTCCTTTCTGGAGTTGAATGGCTGCTCCCACCCCTCCCATGGCACACCTGTCAGATGCCCATGCGCTTTTCCTCTGCACCAGCTAAGAATGGGCTTGTCACCCTTCAGAATGGCATCTGTCCTGTGCCATTCCTCTTTGTGGCTTGGTGGGCTTCCCCTGACAGGCCAGAGTCTCCCTGTCTACTCCATATGTAAGCCTGAATCCCCCACCAGAAGTAGCCGCAGCCAAAGGATGCACATCTGAGTTCAAGATTTCCAATCTTGAACCACTCAGCAGGACTGGGAACAGAAAAGTGTCAATCTACACATTGGGAAGTTGTTTAACTTCACAGAGAGGCGCTGCCAAACAGTCAAATGAAGGCTGGGAAGACAGCTAAATTAAACACAACAGAAAGTCACATTTGAACTCAGCAGCCCTGGGCTGAGATCTCTGCAGCCCTGGTCATCACTACCTTCATCTGAATCTCAGTGTATGTGATGGCAGGGAGGGGGTTGCTCTTTGGGGAGAGAGAGTGGGATGGTTAGCCAAACTTTCCACTGTAAGCACACACAGGCAGGAATACCTGCTCTCCTTCCCATGCCTCTGTGAGAAGTTTTCCTTGAACCATCTCCTCCTAGACAAAAATCACACCTAAAGAAGCAACTAGAGGACTCACACAACAGAAAGTCACATAACAGAGGGGCAGGGAATGTTGCAACCTGGGCAGATGTTAGACCTAGAGGTTGAGGTGGCAGTTAAGACATGCACATCCCACTATGGAGAATCTGGGTACAATTCCCAGCTCCGCCGTCAACTCCTGCTTCCTGCTAATGCAGACCCTAAGAGGCAGAACTAATGGCTCAAGGAGTCGGCTTCCTGCCACCTGCGAGGGTGACCACAGCTTCGTCTTGCTGCAGTCCCTGGCATTGTAGATGTACAGGGAACGAGCCAGGAGATAGGAGTTCTTGCTGCCTATGACTGTCTCTCTTCCTCTCAGATTATTATTTAACATAATGAGATGGAATGAGAAAGAAACTGTTGCACCATGTTAAAAACTTGAGGCTCATTCTCCACCCAGCGTGGCTGCCCAAAGCAGAGGGAGACTGCACATAGGGCTCAGAAGGCGGCTTAAGCGCCAGGGGCTCTGAGCAGTCAGGATAAAGAGATGTGTGTGATTTTTCTTCTTTGTTTTGTTTTGTTTTCATATGATTTTACTTACTTAGCTCTCATAATAATAATACCTACTCCCCACTTTATGGATAAGCCTTGGTGAAAGAAAATGTGTTTGTCAATGTGGAGCCCCACATTAGGTCCCGTCAGGGGCGTGGCAATGAGTGTTTTAATCAATTCATGTACATGCAGCACCTAACATGGGCATGGCCACTGGGTACTAGACGTAAATATTAATTCCCTTCATCATCTACAAAGAACTCCCATGTACATTGTCTCATTTTTTGATCCTTGCAATGGACCTATGTAATATTTATTAGCCCCTTTTACATGTAAAGGAAAGAAGCTCCTTGTCTTACAAACATGAATCAGATGGCACGTTTGGTAACTGCAGCCCTGACGTAGGACATGGAATGTTCTGGTGCCAACCCTTTGCTGTCTCCATGCCGTTATCTGGTTATTCACTGATTCACAATTCTGGAAACTCACCTGTCAGCAACAATGACTTGCAAGTGCTGGAATATTCTGGAAGATGAATGAATGGGTGTTCCATTCCACACTGGGGCAAGCAGGTGGGGGCCGAAGGCTCTGGGAGTCATGACATATATAACATGATGATACTGGGGAGTGAAAGCTTGACAGGATCACGCCGAAGGATATAAGCAAGAGGTGTAGTCCAGAGCATCATGCAAGGACCAACTCCAGAGGAAACCCCTTCTGCTTCTCCAGGCGCTCTGCATGCACACCTAAGAGGAGAGAGTGTGAAGCACTCATTGTGACGCATTCCTCCCTCTCTTTCCCCTCCCTTCTTCCTCCCCCAACTCCCTCTTCCTCCCTCCCCAACAACCTTTGGGAACCATCTTTTCATCATAATGACAGGCAGAAAGGTCTGTGCAGGCAGATCCCAAGGTGCTGCAGGACTAGAGGGCATGAAATATTTAGCGGCCAGTGTTGACAAGAAATGGGTTTTAGGAAATTGAAAATTCTGCTGTCACTTTCAAGTAAACTGTGTTCTTGATGCATCTGAAGGCTGGCAGGAAGGTGCTCCAGAGAAAGCAGTGAAGCCATGTGAGACGGCCACACTAGCTGCTGGCCCTGCAGCCTCCCTCACTCTGTGGGGACAGAAGGACGGGGACTGGGAATAAGGGTGCAAGGAGGCCTGAGGACAGTGCCAGAGACCTCAGGCACAAGGCCCCCACCCTGAGAATGACCCTGAGCTGAAGGGGAAATGTGGGGAGAAAAACCAACAGGTGGAAGCACTTGTCTGCACTTGGTGCCCATGGGCAGCATGGCTGGGCCTCTGTGGGTCATAAATGGCAAAGGGCCACTCCCAGTGGCAGCGCCTTCTGAGTGATTTATTTAACAGTCCCTTGAACAGAACATTCCTCACAGACCCTGCTGGCTGCAATCTCCCACACACCTGTGGAAGATGCAGTGTGATTCCTGTCCTATTCCAGCAGAAGAGGCTCTGTGTGGGGCTCTGGCCTCCAAAGCCCTGGTTCCCACAGTCAGCCTCATCCATCTCTCCTAGGAGCCCTAGAGAGCAGGTGTCATCCATCTTCATTGTGCGGATATGCCCCCATTGGGCAGCAACTGACCTAGTCAGAGAGGGTAAACCCAGACCAGCCACTCTGCCTGGTTATGGATCTGATCAGCCTGATTTAAAGAACACAGATCTAGCTGCCAACCCCCCTCTACCCCTGGCCAACTGAGAATCACCCAGGATGTTTTCTGAAAGGGTACCCCCAAGGCCCAAACCCCACACACCAGGATCTCATTTAACTGAGCCACAGTGAGGTTTAAGCATCAACATTTTCCAAAACCTTCCTGAGGAATTAGAATATAGGGTCAGTTTTGAGAGTCACCAGTCTAGATCTAGGTCAAATGGAAGCCATTGCTATTGTATGTCCATCTCCAGCACCTAGCCATATGTTAATCTATGAACTCAAAAACCTGAGTAATTGTTTTCATACACATGTCGTCTCAACTTTTCATCAAGAATCTTCCTTAATCCTCTGAAGAGTTCCTCCTCCAGATGCCATCTGACTTCTCATCTCGACAATAGCGGGTGCCATTGTTGGAGCATTTATTTAGGTCAGGTATTATACACCATTGTCATTTGTGCCATTTGTATATGACCTGTTGATGCTCAGAGGGGCAAGTGACTTGCTTGTGGTCACAAGTGATGAAGCCAAGAGCTGAGCCCAAGCCCATGTGACTCCCAAATCTGTCCTCTTGCTACCTAGTTTTCATGGCTGCTACCTCCCTCTGTGTTTTTGGCTGATGGAAACTATCATGTATCTCTTGGGCAGCTGCTGTGTGGGCTCTCTGAGACCATGTTACTGACAGGCTGTGTGACGATCAGGCCCTCTGCAGGCTGTTCTGAGCCATATGAGGTCTGGGACGATGAGTGGTGAATGTCACCAGCCAACTGAGTGTCTGTGTCTCAATCATCAGGTTCGCCTGGAATGGCCCACAGATTTGGCCGTCAATCCAATGGACAACTCTCTCTACGTCCTCGACAACAATGTGGTCCTGCAAATCTCTGAGAACCACCAGGTGCGCATCGTGGCTGGGAGGCCCATGCACTGCCAGGTCCCCGGCATCGACCACTTCCTGCTGAGTAAGGTGGCCATCCATGCAACCCTGGAGTCAGCCACTGCACTGGCTGTATCACACAATGGGGTCCTGTACATCGCTGAGACAGATGAGAAAAAGATCCACCGCATCAGGCAGGTAACCACAAGTGGCGAGATATCACTTGTTGCTGGGGCGCCCAGTGGCTGTGACTGTAAAAATGATGCCAACTGTGACTGTTTCTCTGGAGATGACGGGTATGCCAAGGATGCCAAGCTGAATACCCCGTCTTCCTTGGCTGTGTGTGCTGATGGGGAGCTCTACGTGGCAGACCTCGGGAATATTCGAATTCGGTTTATCCGCAAGAACAAGCCCTTCCTGAATACCCAGAATATGTATGAACTGTCCTCACCCATTGACCAGGAACTCTACCTTTTTGATACCAGTGGCAAACATCTATATACCCAGAGCCTGCCCACGGGAGACTTCCTGTACAACTTCACCTACACTGGCGACGGTGACGTCACGCTCATCACAGACAACAACGGCAACATGGTGAACGTGCGCCGGGACTCCACTGGGATGCCCCTCTGGCTGGTGGTCCCAGATGGCCAGGTGTACTGGGTGACCATGGGGACCAACAGCGCACTCAAGAGCGTGACCACACAAGGACACGAGTTGGCTATGATGACCTACCATGGCAATTCTGGCCTTCTGGCAACCAAAAGCAATGAGAATGGATGGACAACGTTTTATGAGTAAGTACCAAGACAAGGTTTTTTGATACTTTTTGTTTCATTAGAAACATTGTAGGTACATCTAGAGGTGAATTGATATAGCATTGATCTGGGGATATATTTCATTGTAATTCAGGATTTGAGATGCCAATCATTATTTATAGTATGTAACAGGCATTCATGTTCCAGATAATCTTTCCATGAAAGAAATTATATAGTACAGAAGGTGTGAACTTTGCGATTAGAGGAATTAGGCTTTTGCTCTATGTCTACCATGGACTTAATCTCTCTAAGCCTCAGTTTCTACATCTATAAAATGGACACCTTCCCAGAGAGAGGGTTTAGTTGAGAAATACTTAATAAATGCTTTATATAGCCACCCATGCAGAAATAGATGTGAGAGAAGGAACAGTTAGTTCCACATGGATGAATTTTTCACACAAGTGATGCTCATGTGTTCTAAAAAGATGTTTTCACTTTAACCATATGAATGAAACTATATGGTTAAAAAATATGTGTTTTTGGGCCCAGCGCAATGGTGCAGTGGTTAACGTCCTTGCCTTGCACGCCCTGGATCCCATATGGGAGCCGGTTCTAATCCCGGCTGCCCCGCTTCCCTTCCAGCTCCCTGCCTGTGGTCCGGGAAAGCAGTCGAGGACGGCCCAAAGCTTTGGGACCCTGCACCCGTGTGGGAGACCCGGAAGAGGCTCCTGGCTTCAGATTGGCATAGCATCAGCCATTGCACTCACTTAGGGAGTGAATCATGGGACGGAAAATCTTCCTCTCTGTCTCTCTGTATATCCGCCTTTCCGAAAAAAATAAAAAATCTAAAAAATATATGTATGTATTTTTTAATTTAAATTTTTTTTTGAAAAAATATGTATTTATTTTTACTGGAAAGGTAGATTTACAAAGAGAAGGAGAAATAGAATAAGATCTTGCATCCACTGGTTCACTCCCCAAATGGCCACAATGGCCAGAGCTGAGCCAATATGAAGCCAGGAGCAAGAAACTTCTTCCAGGTCTCTCACATGGGTGCAGGGGCCCAAGGTCTTGAGCCATTCTCTGCTGCTTTCCCAGGCCATAAACAGAGAACTAGACTGGAAGTGGATCAGCAACACAAACTGACACCCATATGGAATGTCAGTGCTTGATGGTAGAGGGTTAAACTGTTGAGCCACTGGGCTGGCCCCAGAATGGAACTTCTTATGAAGTGAATTGCATGCCTCCTTTCTCAAATGCGTTATGTAAACACAGTGACGATCTTCAAAATATCAGCATCATTAATAATAAACAGCAATTGCATATTTTGTTGCACTACAAAAATCGCTTCCAGGAAGTGAGTAAATGAGGAGATAAAACCCTAGGCCCTGCCTAAAATATTTTCCAGCTATTCTTTTTTTTTTTAAGATTTATTTTTAGTTTTTTTTATTGGAAAGGCGGATATACAGAGAGGAGAGACAGAGAGGAAGATCTTCCATCTGATGATTCACTCCCCAAGTGAGTGCAATGGCTGATGCTATGCTGATCCAAAGCCAGGAGCCTCTTCTGGGTCTCCCACACGGGTGCAGGGTCCCAAGGCTTTGGGCTGTCCGACTGCTTTCCTGGGCCACAGGCAGGGAGCTGGAAGGGAAGCGGGGCTGCCAGGATAGAACCGGCACCCATATGGGATCCAGGGCGTGCAAGGCAAGGACCTTAACCACTGCGCCATCACGCTGGGCCCCAAGCTATTCTTTTATTGGCTGCCGTCTCATGGGTAGAGCTGTTACTGCTTTCTCCCTTCGTGTGACAGGGATGATCATGTCACTGTTTACTAACAGTGCCCGTGTCACGCAGCTAGCTTCCCTGTCCATCCCAAATGGGCCTTCTGTTCTTCTTTATCTAATGCAGGGTTTTAGTTGGTTATTTAGTGGAGAGGCAGAGAGGGCTAGAACTGCTGGTTCATTCCCAAATGCCTGCAATGCCTTTATATCCCTGTTGGGGGCAGAAGTGGGAGCTTAGGACTCAATTCCCATTCACCAGGTGGGTTGCAGAGCCCCAAGCACCTGAGCAGTTACCTGAAGCCTCCAAGAGTGTATGTTGGCAGGAATACAGTGAGAACTCAAACCCAGCACTCTCATGCGGATGTCTTAACCTCTAGCTCAAATACCCACCCTAGAATAGGGCTGCTTAAGTGGTGTGATCAGAGAACCACAATTATGGCTTATTAGAGTCATCCCTAGCCAAAATGTAGTATATGCATCAGAAGTACTCCTCCATAAGATATCTTACCGAATGGACTTTGTAATGGCTTCTGCACTTGAAATTTTTAAAAGCTTTTTTTGAGTTGTTTGGCGTGTTCTGGAAAACTGAGACAGCTGAATAAGCACCACTAGACCAGTATGCAGGAGGTGGGTCCAGAAGTGGCCTTGTTGTCCACCAGCTGTGTGCTAGGAACCACTTCGTGGCTCTGGGGTCTCCCAGCAGCTCCAGCAGGTGGGACATAGTGCCCATTTCACAGAAATAGAAGCTGAGGCTCAGAATGACACGTGGGAAACGTGGCAGAATAGGAGTCACAACCTAAAACTGGCTGCTGGACAGCTCACACTTCTGCCACATCAGAGAGCCCTGCCTTCCCCTCCCCTCCCTGCCGAGTTAATCCCAAAAGAACTCCTATCCTTGAGCCCTGGAGTTTTTCTCAAGCTTGATCAAGCATCCGTTTCTCACAGTCCAAGAATCCAGAGGAGAAAGATCTGTAATTGACTTTTAAATGTAATTTTTCACAAAAACTGTCACAGCAGTTTGTACAAAGTTCACTGCCTAAATTCCTCTCTCCCAACAAGGTCCCTGTTAATTACGAAGAAAAGACCAAGATTCAGGAAAACAGCAATTATCTTGATTAACTCATTGAGATGGAAATACGCTAAATAATTCAATTTTCCTCATTGCCCCGGTGGAATCTTGTATACATTATTTAGCCAATACAGAGGTTTCTTTGCAAGAGCAAGTCTGTGCACTCAATTAGTTTCCAAGGTCATTGCTTCAGATCCCAGACCAATTGCTTACACTTCACTGCAACCGTTACCTTCCTCCGCCCGAGACCTACCACCGCTCCCCAACCCTCTACCAGAAAGCCTTTTCACTCGCTTCCTTGTTGAAATATTTGGCCATGGTTGGTGTTTCATGATAAAGAAAAAAATTAAGATTTTTTTGTTTATTTATTTGTTTATTTGAAAGGCATACTTAGAGAAAGGGAGAGACAGAGAAAGAAGAGAGATCTTCCATCTACTGATCACACCCCATATGGCTGGAACAGCCAGCACTGAGCCAGGCTGAATACAGGAGACTACAACTCCATCTGAACCTCCTACGTGGGTGCAGGGGCCCAAACACTCTGGCTATCTTCTGTGGGCTTTCCCAGGTCATTAGCAGGGAGCTGGATCAGAAGTGCAGCAACCAGGACTTGAACCAGCATCCAGAAGGGACACCAACATGGCAGGCAGCAGCTTTTCCCTCTTCAACATAATTCGGCCCCAAGAAAGCGTCTGTGTGATCACTACACCAGTACATTTAGAATTCCAGAAATTTACTTCCTGATAGAACCCAGGAGAAATTCCATTTCCCATTTAAGCTTCACAGAAAGTAGCAGGAATTTTCATCCATGTTTTTGTTGTTGTTGTTTGTTTGTTTGTTTTTGCTTTTGCTTTTATTTCCATGATAATGAAAAATGAGCTTAATAAGCTTCAGACCCCCTTGTAAGCACGCAGCAGAACTGTACCACACACCCATGTTCTTTCTGCTGCACTGGCATGGGTCCCTCTGTTCTCTGTGAGTTACCTGTATTGTAGGCAACTGCTTGAGAGGCACAAGGACAAGTGCACCTTTCTGACTCAGCTCACGTGTTTAAAAGGAAACTGTCTCTGCCATTGTTATTTCAACACTGGTAGTGTCAATACCAGGAACAGCAGCCACATTGTTTGGGTGTGGAAGGTAAGCTCATCAAAGGAGCAGAAATAAGTTTGCCTTGAATAGGTAGGACTCTGTGGCTAGAGAGAAGTCTGGAAATAGGGACCAAGGCCAAGAGAGCCAGAAAAGAAGCTAGATCCCTGAAAATATCCAGGATAGGCTGGCAAATGGCTTGCAGAGTGGGCCAAGGTCAAGTGGCGCAACGTAGATTGGGAACAAAAGGGAAAGTGCCACGCATCTATCTTCAGTGTATGATAGCATGGACTCCAGGCTTGGGATTGGGTGAGCTGCTCCCCACACACTTGCTACCTACACTCTTGTGAGGACGCAGAAAACTGAATGAACACTGCAAGTAGAAATGCTTACAAAATCCCATGCAGGTTCGGAAACTGACTTGCTGGGTGGCCCTGAACCACTAGTTTCCCTTGGCATGGGGGGAGGTGGCTCTGGCCCCCTGTGGTGCCCAGTGACAATCCATTAGAATTATGCTCACATAACTACTGAGAGGCCCTTACTAATTTATTTCTGTATCAAGCTGAGGGATTGCCACTTTGTAGGTGCTCAGTAAATATTTTATGAATGAAATGTAAATTCAGGAAGGAAGGGAGATAAGGAGGGGAGGGAAAAGTGTGCTACAGTGGGAATGCTAGATTGAAATCCAAGCCCCAACACTATGAGTGTTCCAGGCACCAATTAGAATTCAGATGCAGTAGTTCAAATGGAGAGAGTTGGCTTCTGACTCTTGCTTGGACATAGAAGGAAAACCATCCCAACCTTATGCTGAAAGTTAGTCAGACAAAGGAAAAACCCATGGGTTCTCCATAAATGCCTTCCCTGGGGTCCTTGGACAATTGACAGACCCAAACCCAAGGAAAAATGGCTCCTGCAGAAAGAGACAAGGTATGAACAGGGCTTCTGCTAGCAGACCCATATGGATACTGGTCAAAGACTTCAGCCAGCCAAATTGGTAGATATGTGAAGGCTGATAGGAAGCTAGGAAGTCCTTGGAAGCTACAGAAACAGGGAAAGTCTACATCCTCTTCAGCATGTATTTCCCCAAATGTAACCAGGAGCTT